GAGGCAGATCTCAAGACGAACCTTGAGAATTCGCATGTACTCAGCGTAGTCCGGCTCAGCAGCAAACTTGGAAATGGTATCCTTCATCTTGGCAGGGAGCTTTTTCAAGATGTCCTGATTCCGGCGAACAGCTTGCACTGCATTATCATGCATTTTGGTGCGGCGGGACAAAGGATTGTCTTTGTACTTCTTCTGCCCTGGCTCCTGATTGCCGCCTTGGCCGTCCTTCGAGGAGCCAGAGCCGGAGCCAGGCTGGGAGCCCAGGAGCTGAGCAGGCGTCAACTTGGGCTTTGACAAGATGTCTTGGTCCACCTGGTCCACATCATCCTGCTTGAACTTCTTGCTGGTGTGCTCTAGGTCACGGGAGCGTTCATCACCAGTTTCCGTCTGGTTGAGCTTGTACGTCTCCACCTCGACACTGAGACGCAATTCCATGCCTTTCCGACCTTTCTGGTCCTTGTCAACACCTGCAGCCAGAAGCTCATTCCATTTGGCCAGGATCTCAGCTGGAGCGAAGCCCTTTTTCTCATAGTGTTCGGTGAACTCGCCCCAATCTTTCATGACCTCCCTGGTTCCCCTCACCACGCTGTTCTTGGAGTACACCTTCTCCCTAAAGCTGAGATGATCGAATTTGTTCCTTACGAAACCTCTTCCACGACCGCTGCATTTCTCCTGATACGTGAGCATCATGTACTGGAATGTGTCGTCTTGCTTGGATTGTTCATGAAACACCTCGATCCACCCGTTCTGTTCTGCGTCCTTTTTACAGGCAGCCACATCCCTTGCGCAGTCTCCGCAAAAGCGCATCTTCTTCTTACGCTTGGACCTTCTGCACACAGCACAAGGAAGCTCTCCTTGCTTCAGCTGCGGGGGCGCCGGCGGCGGGGGGGTTTCAACAGGACTGCTTGCAGTAGTCGTAGGGCTGGAATTCAAGGAAGTTGCAGGACTTAAGTTGAAGGCATGTGCAGGGCTTGGGCTTGGTGTGAGCACAGCTGCTGGTTCTTTCACAGCCTTGGCAGGGGAGGAGAAATCATCTCCATCATCTTGTATCTGCAAGGCTGCTGCCTCCCCTCCTTCTGCCATGGGCAGCGACAAGCACAAGAATCCAACTTCAAAAGTTCCCAGGGGCTATGGCCTGATCAAAGGCTGCCAAAAATCAACCAATGAAGGAGCAAGCGCATGCTTTCAGAATTTGACAATCCTGCGAGAGAAGTTTTCTTGCTCAAGCAAGCAGTACGAGCAACAGCCTCGCGGGGCAGTCGCAGAGTTGCAGACCTCACACAGGGGGTTTGGGCACAGAGGTCAGGGTTGAAGGGTTGAAGGTTGTGGGCTCAGCACTTGGATAGATGGACCTTGAAAGCTTGAAGGAAGCTTGGGCCTCAGCAAGGTGAGCCAGCTGCAGCCCACCCC